GTAGCTCTCGTTCCTATTTCTCCCGCTACACTTCAAGTTCCTGACCCGTTCCTTAATTCAACGTTGCCCAAATGCCCAATTATGGCTTGATCTCCTACATTAAGCAGTCGAAATATCTAAACTTCCAAAAAAGAACAAATTTGGAAATGGCTGAATTCGAACCGACGACCTGCGAGTTACCATCCCAAATTTGAGCCAAGTGCCTTACCTATTCGACCAGCAAGGCACTTAACTGCTTAAATTATTATTAATGTTACCTAGATTAGCGTATGTTTAGTAATATTAGATGACCTGATCGATACTAGTTCATATTATATCACTCTATGGTCTGTATGAGGAGTTTTTACATTACTACAAATTGCAGAACATTCAGAAATGTGTTTTACATGTTAATGGCACCAAAATCAACAAATGGCGGAGCTTAATCACTTGTTGGTGACTAGCTAAGGTTAAAAATGTAGGACTTTCCAAAATCACGTATTATAATCCATTTCTGTATCAACAAAAGTTTGAATTCTAAAGAAGAATAATGTTCAAAAATGTTGCAACATAAAAGATCCATCAAGAACAACCGGTAAACTTATTAAAAAGTACTAAACTTGCCAGTAAAGTCTGAGACGAAAGTAATAAATTAAATCACAATTTGTTGACAGATTCATGCAGTTTTCATAAGCAGTAACTAAAAAGTAAGACGGAGACAAAAACTTTTCATTATGTCGGGTGTAAATAAAGGCAAAAAAGTTTGTCATTTTAGTCGTGATTTACTTACACTTTTATTTTAGTTGGCAAAACGAGCAAAAAATTTTTTAAATTAAATTAAATCAAGAACGACCGCTTATTGTACTATTTTGTAATGCTGTCTTGTAGTCTTTAAATACTCGAACACAATCTTTTTATATCCCAAAATGAATATTGCATTGACACTTTAATTCCACAAATATAAATATCTGATCAAATGTCACTGATTCAAATTCAACATAAGTAATGCTCAGATTACAACTTTCATTTGAATTTTCTATTAATAATAATAATTTTTTTATATCTTTTCACTTTTTATTCAATTCTGTTACACTAAACACCAATTAATATTTTATCGGGTCACAAAATATTTGACACTTCAATGAAACAAATTAATGCCGATAAAAATCTGTAAAATCGCCCGCATAACTCTCAACGTGACATAGTCTTTAATTACTTTGAGCATAAACAATCGACTAGTTGCTCGAGTTGACGTACATAAAGCAATTTATTTTACAATATTCATTCGCCGACAGCGTGTGAATTTAAATAAACCGAACAAAAAATAACAACTGGAACGATCAAATTCACGATGATGACTGAAGAAACAAGTTTTTTTTTGTTAATTCTTCCACTTCCATGAGTCGACGATCGTTTTGTGCTGTGTGCTGTATTCAAAACAATAATAAAACAATGAAGCATTAAACATTATTGGAAGTTGCAGCATGCAAGCATCTGATTTCGATTAAATATGTTTTAGGAAATTTAATTAAGACTTGACGGCTTACGCCACCATGAAAATAAGATCAAAAAGAGTTTGCCTTTGTGTCTGGTGCTAAAATCTCAAAAGAAAAACTCTGAATTTTTCATGAAAATTTGTTTATTTTTGTTGTTGCTTGTTATAGTTAATTGAAGAAGAAGAAGAAGAAATAAAAAACTGGAGCAAGCTGAATACGCGAGCGTAATAATAATCTTAAAACAAACAAACACAATTTTTATGCCGGAATGTAAATAAAAAGATAAAAGTTCAATAAATCAATAAATTATATGAAGGAATGCATTCATTTTTGTTTTGTTTGAAAGTTCTACATTCAAGTTTTTATACTGTCGCGATAAGTCTCTGTCGCTTCTCTCCTTTAGCGGTGGCCTTTTTTTTGTAAAGTTTCTCTGTTCTGTCTTTCACTTTTTATAGCTGCTTGTATTTTTTTTATGCCGGTACACGGGAGAAATTCATAGTCATCGAATTAAAGCGTTTTATTGAAATTGTAACATGCTTAAATATTTTTTTGGGTGATTATTTCTGTTCTTTGCATTAACACAGCACTTCCGAGATAATTTTTTACTACATTACCATGATGTTATACTTTTTGGAGCACACATTTGTGGCCGTAATTAAAAATTGGGACTTTTGGATGTTCAGTATTAAGTCTCAACAGAGAATTGTCCCAAATCGAAAGCGGCATGAGTCATCGAAGTTATAAATTGATATCAAACATTATGGACAGTCTATTGTGTTGTCAAAGACATCAAACTTTGAGAAAGTTCTTATGCCTACGGATATATACTGAAAAATGAGCAAGAACAGCTAAGCAATCCCGAATAGCACAAGTTGGTTAATAGATTTCGATCTAACATCATGCCAGAGTCACGTGGGCTTGGTGCCGGATTTCTGATCGAGTAAGTGACTTGTGCCATTCGAGAATGAACTTAGGTTAATTCACAAATAACGTGATTCTAATAATAAAATTGTTGACTTCCTTTAATGTTTTGATAAAGGCCTTTGCTGCTCGGTTTATCCAAAAGTATATCTTAAGAAGTAACCAGCTATAATCTCACCATTAATCTAATACATCATAAGTGAATAGCTCTCAAGAAACATAGGGGTCGTTCACTTATGACGTCCATCAAAAAACCTGATTTTTAGACCCCCTCCCCCCCTCTGTCACAAAAATTCTATAGAAAAAAATTTCCATTATTTGAATTGTCCTAGACCCCCTCCCCCTAAATTTCGGACGTCACAAATGAACGGCCCCATACAACAAATTTCGCGTTTCATACAATTTTGCAGAAAACAGTCACGTCATGTCATGACATTAATCTTCAATTATTTTTAATTATTTTCTTTCTTTCCTAAGGTGGTCTTTGACTTCTAAGCCACAAAAAAACCGAAAACAAAAACTTGCTTAAAGCACAAAAAAAATATTTAAAAAATTTCCTTTCATTGTTCTTTGCAACTGTGTTTGCGGCTTTTGTGGTCAATTTTTTCTAACACACAAAATTCAATGAAAAGCTCTACAAAGCGATAAATTTGCAGATTAATTGGCCACTTAAGACGAAGTTATTTGTTACATAATTTCTTCTTTCCTCTCATTTCTATAGCCATTTTCGATTACTCATACAAAAAACATTCTTTCTGTGTCAGCTTCTTAACTGCGGTAGATCACGTAGTTTTTAGAATGGAAGTGAGCAGAATAGCAAGCAAGAATTTCAAATAGAATTCAATAAAATGAAGAATTTTTATGCACACAAAAAAAGTATCATTATTATTGTTAACATCATAAAACGCTGCTATTTTCTGTTAACATTGTAATGCCTTTTTTCAGTCATGACTTGATGGAAAAATTAAATTTTTTTTTTCGTATTTCATGTGAACCAGATGTGCCTTACTTTTTCTCTAGTCTTAATGTATTTTCAATTTTTCTTTCGATTCTTCCGTCCTTCTTCTTTTACAGAATTTGGAAGAATGTGCCATACTTAATACCAGCGTACGAGCGGAAACATGAAACAGAGTTATTAATTAAATTAAATATGAGATTAAAAGATTTTTGGGTTCTGTATTGAGCTTCAGTCTGACTGAGTTATTAAAGTTTTTCTGCAATTTATTTTCATGGAGGTAGCTACTCTAATGATAACCCCGATGTTTCTGTTTAAGCTTCAAATATATGCGTCATTATCTTTTTAATTTATAATATGTGGTAAACTTGACATACATTCGAAAAGTAAACTTTTTTCAAGGCGTGGAAACTATCTCAAATATCCCATGTATCCCATATATCCCAAAAATATTCAAAATTATCCCTAAGCCTGTATGCATTAGAATTGAGATATCCCATCATATCCTGAAATTACACGTCCAATAAACTAAGGATACGTTAGGATATCTTTATTATCGTGCATACATGCTCAGGAATTTTTTGAATATTTTTGGGATACATGGGATATTTGGGATAGTTTCCACGCCTTGACTATTTTCGAGGGATTATGGCTGAAAATTTTAGTGAATAATTCATACATTTTCGTTAGAAGAATCACGCCTTTGTTCAGTGATTTTAAATATGCCGGGTAATTTATGAAAATATTCAGAGAATTTAAAAGCAGTGATATAGTTTGAACAAGCTTATCGTTTTACAGAAGCACTTTAACATGCTACTATGTATAATGTAACATATGTTTCAACCAAACTGTCTGCAAAAAAGTTTCTTCTTCTTGCTTTGTATGCAATAAATCTTGAATCTAACGAATATTGCGTAAAATAACAATTTAAGTGCTTTAAGCCTAAAGTTCGAGCATGTTTTTCTTTTCATATTAAATATTGTTTCACTTTTAGATCGTCCGCAACTTCAGCAATGCACAAAAAGTTGAAGCTAGTCTCGAGAACTCTCTTAAATAATGAACCTCATTCATAAACGACCCATTTTTAATGCTCGTGATGAAAATTTTACATTTTCTTTTATCATTAATTAGTCTAGCTCTGTTTTTATTTATTACTGCGTGTGTGCGTGGGATTCTGTATTTTAAAATAATAAGAATTTTCTTGATTTATGAAATCAATTTGAGTAACCGGAAACAGGGACAAAGTTTTAGATGTTGAGTAATTCTCATGAAAATAACTTATTAGTCAGAAATGAGACGAAAATTGAGAAGTAAGTGAAAAATTAATATTTACTCATTTGATTCAATAATACAGGAAAGAAATAGAAGAACGAGAACTGGCAAAAGAAGAAAGACGTTTTAAATGTGAAAGCAAATAGACATTTAGTCAGGAAACTCTCAATTCATTCTGTGAGACTAGATTTGGAGACATTTTGCCAACTTCCTTTAACAATCTTTATTGAACTTCTCTGATTTCATTTTGTTGGCTCTTTCAACAATAGAAAATTAAACTTTCGTTCTAGAGCACTGACTGACTTTTATTTAACAAAATGATAAAAAAAAAACTGTCTTGATTGATTGCTTGTTAAAGAAGAAGTTCCTTCACTCACCATTTGCTGTTGATTTTTTGGCTTTTTTATTAAGTCGGGCACTTTGAAGCTCGTAACGGCCTCAATGATTTCAGCAAGAAGCAATCCATCACGTGCATCAGCTGATAAGTCTACGACTTTACGTTTTGATTTGTGACGTTCCAGATAGTAGTTTGCCCATTCCGTGTAAATCTGAAAAGTATACAAATGAGAAGGGAAAAAAAGTTAATTTTGAAGATTAGTCATGCGAAAAAGTGCCATTTATTGTAAACGACATGGGTCAAAGGCCTTTATTGACCCAGAAAAGGTCTTGTTTAAAAGAATTCTGTCAAAATAAGCAAATGAGAAAAGGAAAGAAATAGAAATTCAGTTTCCGTTCATTTCACCTGAATTAAATGTTTGAAGTCGTCATTTGATCCTTGACCAGTGTCAACAGAAGATATAGCACATTTGTCTTGCATCTTAAAAGGTTCAAATTTTTTATTTTTTGCTTTTTCATTTAAAATTTCTCATTTTTCTTTCTTCTTCAAAGCAAACAACAATAAACGCTCTTGTATATGTGCTGAATAAAAGAGATTCATTGTTTGTCTATTTATTTTATGAGCATCCCACTTAGCTTTTTCATATTTTTTAAGTGGAATTATGTTTAGACAGAAATATAAATTATTTTTTCGCAATAAGTCGCTTCTTTTTTAAGGTGTTCTCACTTTAATTTACATATTATGAATATGAAACATGTATTGCTGGGGATAATATTAAATTACGTCTATCGATAAATTATTTATTAAGAATTTAATTAGCTTCAAAAACTAGGAAGTACTAAGAATTCAAAGGTTTTGCTTACAATTAATTAAGAGTCAATTTAAGCACACATTAAAGCTTGATAATCTAGCGAATTGAAAAATATTTGGCAAAGTAAACCCAACTCAATTTTCAATCTCTGGGCTTTTATGCCTGCATAAAACCTAGTTGATTTAAGTACATGAAGGGCGTGGTTCAATAGATTTACATTCGCAGGGTCTCTAGCTCAAAAGGCTGAGCCCTTCAAGCTTTATTCCCCAACAGATAAATAAATGTTTAGAATATACTCTTGAGTATGTTATGGTACAACAGATCTATGATCGCAGTGCCTTTTCGTGTATAACGAACCCTACATCTAATTCTATCTATCTATGTTATGGTACCATAAGTAAACACTTTTATATGTTAAAGATTATTATTATTAGGGATGAGGACATATTTATGTGTTCCCAAAAAAATCAAACCAAAGTCCTAGAAAATATCCAAAACAAGGATTTATTGTTTCTTTGGCTTCATACCAAAATCTTTGAATTTAGAACCCATTTAGTCATAAGTGAATGATTCTACAGATCAAATATCATTTAAATAATAGTTTGAGAAGCAGAGAACTTTAAAATTATTATTGACCATGCAAAATTGATAAATTCATCCGACAGTTCATTGAGTAATAAAATCCAATAAAAAAACAACCTAGTGTCTACTCCACAAAACAAAATTAACTGGGCGTGAAAAATTCTTCATTCATGTTCAATTTGCATTGTCGTCTTTTTCAAATTTCTTTAAATTAGACTCACTCGGGGCAATACGAAATTTTTATTATGAACACCAACTTTCCGAAAAATAAGAAAAATGCAATTAATAATTGATGCAGCAACACCCTCAACCTTTTTCATTCCTTTTGGGATGTTGATGAGGAAACAAAAAAAGTGAAGGAAGAAGAAGATTGCAGGAAATGAAAAAAGTGGAAATTAAAGACAAGAAATTTAAATTTATTTTGCCCTAGGGACACAATCTTTTACAGTACACAGCAAAAGAATAATTTTCAACGCTTCAATAGCCACAAGCTGCTAAAATAGAAGCTTTGCGTGGCAAATTGAGATTCATTACTATTCTTTGTAGCTGACTATATGCGGATTTCAAATAAATATTTACAGTACCAAACATGCTGCGCTTTAATTGTTTAACGATTACAAAAATGATAGTAATGTGCACGCAACAGTGTGTCGCTAAATGGTTTTATATGAAGAGAAATAAGTAAATATCATTGGATAATTGAGTTCAATTATCAGTGCAGTCGGAAAAGTATGAGAATACTTTTATGATAGCTGTAATGGCGCAGTGTCGTGACAGTAAAAATTATTTTTCAATTGCAAAGTTTAAACAAAAAATAACGCTTGATAATGGAAAAAGTTTGCCAAGTTTAGGGTTTGTTCATAAGCTTCATCAATCTAGAATATAGTAAAACATTATGGCAACGTCAGTAATATCCAGAAGCGTAGTTTAAAGCGCTTATTATCAAATTATTATCGTATGTTGTCCGGCACAGGGTTCGGTCGTGCATTTAGCGGTATAAAAGGATACCACGAGAAGGTATGCACTTGACATTTGGTCAGCTTCGGAGTCAGATCACCCTCTGATCACCCTCTGATCACCCTCTCATCTTTAATGTAAGACGTCATATGAAAGTGACTTGTTTACTCCACATTTTATGATTCTCAAGAAATCTCATAGCAAATTGAACCTGCTATTATATGTAGATAACAGACAGAATAATGTGCAATAAACTCACACGTAGCTCACCATAAAAATTTATCAGACTGTTTAATTAAGATATAAATAATTGCAGTTATCAGGCTTGAATAAATAATCAAGCGAAATAAATGTAATAAATTCCTATTTATTCTGATCGAATAGTCTAACGAGGTTCTGTGTGTGACAATGTGTATGATGATTATTCTGACCTAAAGTGAGAATTTCAAAGAATCCAATATTGATTTACGATCATGGAGTGAATGAATGATGAACAAACATTGCAATTTGCATTCATCATTGAGTTTACGTCAACATGACACAGTAATTACTCAATACATTCATATACTATATTTTCTACTCAATGTCACTTGATGTATGAATACAATGAATGAATGAATGAAATTCATTATTAACTCAACAGCATTGATACATGTAGACAGTCAAACATTGTAGTATAAATAACAGAAGTTGGTGATTGAGCAGTGGGACACAAGGAAGAAGTTTTAAATGACTTAAATGAGAGCTATCAATAGTTAATTGCTCCCTATGCCGTAATGAAAATATCAGATGGAATTGCCTATATGACTATCTTCTTTCGGGGACAAAGACGCATGTACACATTTTATAGCCCTTCGGAGACAAATTTCATTCAATTCTAATTTAAGAACACAAAAATCTCGTGTTAGTTGACATAAATCTCATTTCTCCTTTCTTTTTGTAACTTCCTTTATTGTTGATGGAATTGTCAATGCCGTGTCTAAATATTGAATGATATAAAAATCGATTTTAGTCCTAAGAAAACAATAAAAAGAAGATATGAAGGAATTCACTGGATGATGAAGACAATCAACAAATCTACACGTCTAGACTTTTCTTACACATCTCAGATTCCATTTGGAATCGACAAGTATGAAAATTCCTTTCATAAAAAAATATGAAGGCAAACAAAAAATTGCGAGGATGATGAGGAAGTTGAATTTATGTCAAAAGTAAATGGAAATTTGTATTTAAAAGCGATATGAAAATATTTTTCTTGACATCGATTGATTTTTCCCCTTCAAAAAAATTGCTTGTTGCTCTTTCCGTGAAAGGGTTCAGCAATATTTAATGTACCATCATGTTTATTTAATGAGAGCTTGTGGAAATTTCGTCAGATTTTCTTTTTTGATGACTTAAAAATTTGTACTTTTTAAATGAATTGTTTTGAGACATTTTAACATAACCTAGAAAATAGCAGAGCAAATCTCAAAATAAGGGTGTAAAACTATGCGTGTAAATCACAAGGCATAACCTAAAATGGGTTCGATTGATTTGAAACACTGTTTTGAACGAATTTCTTCTTATGGATATGTTTTAATATATTCTAGAGAATCCGATTTTCTTACAAGGATCTCTTATTTTTACCCTCAAGAATGGAAATCAGGGAAATCAATATTATTATTCAATAAATTTTAATGTTATTTTTATGTTCAGTTTAACGTCCCTTTTCTTCCTTTTTCTATGGCGTTTGAATGAACATATCAAGTTGGAAAACGTATGAAAATATTATTCTTTAGTATTTCCAATAACAATGATTTCAATGTGTAGCAAGTCTTTAAAATATTATTTTCTCATAAATCATCGCGAGTCAATAATAAAAAGTCAAGTTTTATGACGAATGTCGTTAAAATGTAAATTTGTCACAGAAAAGTCATTCTTCTACTTCTTTCCGCTGTGTCGTCACCAAAAAATAATTCACATCGTTGTGAAAAACAATTTTTTTGTGTTTTTTTTTTTCATTTTTCTCATTTTCGGAAATTCTTTAGGCCTGACACTTCAAGGCACATTGGGGAAAAACATCTTCAAAATTAATAATGAAAAAAGAATTTTCTTCTTTTTGTCGCATGTCAGTGGAAAATTTGACATGAAATGATTTCATAATAATTTTTGAGACATAATAAAATCCAGTGAGATTTAAGATCTAAGAATTAGGAATGTTGATTTTGACGACAAGTTTTCAAAAGTTAATTCTTGATTTTGTGAGTTTGGGGATTTTATTAAGGCTTAAAAGTCCTCGGCTTTGTTTATTGAGTTTGATTGAATTTAATTGAATTGATGGTTCGACTTTAGTTCAATTTTTTTTGACATGACTGTTTTCAGCACATGCTGTACTTGGCTAGCTTTCTATTTTGTTCTTGGATTATTGAAAATCAATTCTAATGTTGGAAGGAATTTTAAGTTTTATAGGTATATTTGGCAAATTTAGCTCAGTACAGGAGCTAAGATACTGTAACAAATCTGCAGATTTGTGGTCAATCTGTGTCACGTTCACTTACGACGTCCAGAGAGGGTCAGTAACAAAAGAACTAAAGAAATTCTTGGAAATCCATTGTTCCTTTTGAAAAATGAACGTTAATTTCGGACCTCATAAGTGAACGACACCTTAGCCAGATTTTGCATGATTACATCAGATCAGCCATAAAACATAAAATTTGAAAAAAAAAAACCCAGAAAAACTAAATACCGAACAGAAAAATCTGAATCAGGTCAATTCTTGCATTCTCTCTCTTGTTCTTTCCTAATAAAATGTTAACAAGTTTTTAATCCCATCGTATTTTGTTTCATAATCTCATAAAATCCAAAAAAAAACTTATTTTGTC